ATTGAGAGGTGATATAGACACAAGATTAAGGAGCATGGGCTGGGTGATGGGAGTCCTACTTTTGTGTTGGGATTCAATTTGTATTACTGTGTGTCATTGAGAAGTGATATATCTTCAGATTACAATTTTCTCACTTGTCATTGCACAGAAATGAGTTTTAAAATGTTAAACTGAAGTACATGGATTATTGAACCCCAATGCTTTAAGAATACGTTCCGTGTTGTGGCGCCTGGGTGGCTCGGTCAGTTCAGCCTCCAACTCTTGGTTTTGGCTCAGGTCATGATCTCATGGTTTGTGCTCAAGCCCTACATCAGGCTCTGCACTGGTAGTGCTGAGCCTTTTTGGGATTCTTTCTCTCTCCCTCTCTTTCTGTCCTTCCCATGCCTTCTTTCTCTTTCCTCTGTCATAATAAAATAAAAAATATTCTCAGTGCTTGTGACTAGGGTATGAGAGGCTCTTTGCTAAGTCCTGTTAAATTATTATTATGTTAGAATCATAGTCAGTGACTTGATGCTACTTCTGTTTATCTCACAAGGTGTTGAGACCCCCCAATTTTCTGGAAGCTTAGCCTTGACTCTTTAAACAAAAGCCAATAACAAGTATATTATGGTTAAAGATAGAAACTTCTGCTTGCAAGGTAAATATGTCTTGGGAATGTAATATAAACATGGTGACTATAGTTAAAAATACTATACATTTGTTAGTTGTTAAAAGAGCAGATCTTAAAAGTTCTCTTCACAAGAAAAAAAGTAATAACTACATAAGGTTATTTATGTTAACTAAACTTATTGTGGTTATCATTTTGCAATATATATGTATATCAAACAATTATGTTGTACACCTGGGACTAATACAATGTGATATGTCAACTATGTATCAACAAAATGAGAAAAAGTTAATTATTCAGGAAGTATGTAGCCATAGCACTCTCTAATACCACCTTCACGTATGGAGTAGACAATTTGCAAAGGGCCTTTTACATCCCTGATCCTCTCTACCCATATAATACCTTGCTGAGATTTTGCCACCGTATTTACACTTATGCATGTAAAATTCAGAATGCATTGCAAGTCTTTAATAAAGTGTTGGCTATGCTCTAGTGATTTATTGATTTTTGTGTCCTAAGAAGGAGGTGAATTCTATTTTTACAGATGTTCAGCCTGGCACACATGAAGAATCAATGTCATGACCTCATAACTTGGGTCACACTCTTATTTTTTCCAGGTACAATACTCTTTCAACCATACTTCTGTGTTTTGTTTTCTGGAATGTAGCAACAAATCCAAGAAATTAGCAGATAAACCATGTTTTATGTAACCTATGACTCATTAAAATCCACACTCTGTCCTCTCTTGAAGGCCTTTTTAAAAAAAGCATTTAATATGGCTCAAATTAACAACTCAAAACAACAGATGTTGGCAATGATGCAGAGAAAGGGGAACACTTCTGCACTGTTGGTAGGAATGCAAAGGGGTGTAGCCACTCTGGCAAAGAGTATGGAGGTTCCTCAAAAAATTAAGATAGAACTACCATATGACCCAGCAATTGTACTACTAAGAATTTATCCAAAGGGTACAGGTGTGCTCTTTTGAAGGGACACATGTACCCCAATGTTTATAGCAGCATTATTGACAATAGCCAAAGTATGGAAGGAGCCCAAATATCCATCGACTGATAAATGTATAAAGAAGATGTGGTAAAGAAGATAGTGCAACAACATGAATGGAACTAGAGTGTATTATGCTAAGCAAAGTAAGTCAGTCAGAGAAAGACAAATATCATATTATTTTACTCATATGTGCAATTTAAGAAACAAAACAGATGAACATAAGGGAAAGGGATGAAAAAATAAAAAGAGAGACAGAGGCAAACAATAAGAGACTCTTAAATACAAAGAACAAACTGACGGTTTCTGGAGGAGAGGTGGATAGAGGGACGAGCTAAATGAGGGATGAGCTACATGAGCTAAATGAGGTGGGTAGAGGGATGAGCTTAATGATGGGCATTAAGGAGGGCATTTGTTGGGATGAGCACTGAGTGTTTTCTATAAATGATGAATCACTGGGTTCTACTACTAAAACCAATACTACACTGTATGTTAACTAACTTGAATTTAAATAAATAAAACCTTTAAAAAAGCATTTAATTTTAGTCCACTGACTTTGAAGGAGGTCAATTGTTTCTAAGACCTTAGAATATTTTGGCTTGTCTTTATTGTTTTCATCACGATTTCTGCCAGTTTTTGTGTCTGTGTTGGGTTATGACATGGGTCAAGATGCTATTTAATAAATAGGAAATGGGAGTCAAAGAATGTTACAATCAATAATTAATTCAACAAATTTTTACATGTGCCTCTCACGTGCCTGACACTTTACTGGGTACTGTTCACATTGAGAGGCAAAGTCCTCCTGGAGGTCAGGCTAGTGCAGTTGAAAGACAAACAGATTAAAAATGGTTATATACCCATGGTTATTTCAGTGATAAAGATAATCAAGGAACCAAGAGAGAATGTAACAGAATATTTTAGCCAGGGTAATAAAAAAATAAAAGCCTCTTTAAAGAAAGTAGGGATTGAGAAAGATGAAAGAAATTATTTTTATAGTACGGCTTTCCAAGGAGTCCAGAGGTCACTATTTGGATCATAAATGAAGAAAGGGCCCAGCAAAATAGTAACAGACCCTACTGGGGTGCCTGGGTGGCTCAGTTGGTTAAGCATCTGACTTCGGCTCAAGGTCATGATCTTGTGGTTTGCGAGTTCAGGTTCTGTGTCAGGCTCTCCCTGTAGATGAGATTAATGAAAAAGGATGTTCATGGTCATCACTTAATGCTTGATGCCCCAGCCTGGCACGTAATCTGTGTTCAATGTATGTTTGGTGATTGAATGAACAATAAATATATAGTCAAAACTATATTGTTTTATTCCATGAATGCTATAGCTTGACAGACATAGGCTCAATAATCAACTCTGGCCATGTTTCTTTGCATAGTTTATGGCTTATATGCAGATTTAAAAATGCATCTGAATTGAATAATATACATATGCACATAAATACATGTAATTATCTTCTGTTTGTTTTACTTCCTTGCCTTTCACATCTGATCTCCAGGCCAGCAGGAGTTCATTAGTGTGTGTTGTGAAATGCGGTAATACTCCACTTGTTTTCCACGTAGTACTTAGAAATGACACCATAGTATATCATTCTGTTTTTCCATTATTTCCTTTGCTTACCACACGTTGGTAGGGCAACTATCATATTTTAGGATTTAACAGGCATTATCAAAGTCAGTTATAGGTGTATACTTGTATGTTCTGAGTCATCATGTATATGAGGATGCTACTTATGTAGGGAGAAACCTGTTGTCAGGCAACCAAGCCACTCAAAGTGTACCTGCATTTCCAAAGAAAAATACACTAAAATTCACAAAATATATTTATTAGAACCAGTCTGCAAAAACTGTCTTCCCAAAGTGTACTGCAAGACTTGGAAAAACTGATAACCTTTGGTCCTTTAAACAGAATTCTTTTATTTTTATCTTTCAATGGACATTTATTTTGTTCCCTTATCTTGGTTATTTTGAATCACACTGCAATAAACATGAGAGTATAGGTATTGTTTTGAGATCTTATTACAATTCTTTTGAATAAACACTCAGAAGTGGGATTGCTGGAAAATACAGTAGTTCTATTTGTCATTTTTTGAGGAACCTGCATATTGTTTCCCAAGATGACTGCACAAATGCACATTCCCATCAATAATATAACAGAGTTTCCTTTGCTTTATATCCTCACAAATATTTCTTAAATATTGACTTTTTCAAGCCTTCTAGCAAGCCCAAGATGACATTTCACTATAGCTTTTTTTCTTTTTTCTTTTTGTATTTCCTCCCATATTTTGTGTTATCTTTAAGTTTTTATTTAAATTTCAGTTAGAGTGCACTTTCAAGAAATGATAGAGGGAAGAGCCAAGATGGCAGAATAGCATGGAAGTTTTTTGTGTGTCTCACATCCATGCAATATAGCCAGACCAAAAGTAAGCCATCCTACACACCTAGAAAACTGACTGGAGGATTAACACAACAATCTGCACAACCTGAACTACAGAATTCAGCAGGTATGCAGCACGAAGAAGTGAACTTGGGGAGTGAGAAGGTACAGGAAGGGAGGTGCTTTAGTGAATGGAGAGAGGACGGAGACGGGGGGGGGGGTGAGGGAGAGAATACAGAAAATCACCTCTCCCCAAAAGCAGCTGGAGAGAAAGTGGAAAATTGGAAACAGCTGCAGTGAATAAAATAAAAAGGGAGAAAGGAACAAGGAGAAAGGAGAGGGTTTAAATTCCATTAAGGCTGTAAACAAGGGGAGAGCAGTCTGCAACTCCACAGCTCAATACCTGGTGGTGCTCTGGTAGGAAGGGCAAATCCCCAGGAGCAGAATGGGGTCCGGGAGGTTCTCAGGCCACAGGGAGAAAAGCGGTTCCACTGCTGGAAGGACATTCCGTTGAGACTGTTAAAGCCACCTGGTCCCAGCAGACCCAGAAAATGGCCACATTTGCTAGTGCTGGAACAAGGTCATTAAGGGTGAAGCCTGGTGCCAGAT